GTGTTTCGATCATGTCATCATGATTGCTTCGGTTGTGTCTATGCTTCAAGTACCTCCAAAGAGGGAGATATGTTAAAACCAGCAATAGTACACAAATAAATGAGACAGTGATGGTAACCACTACAATAAATAAATTCCTGTAAAAATACAAAAGCAATTAAACTTCATTTTTCAATCAACGGTTTGTTTTTATTTTCAAATGGGAGGTAAAGGTCTGTGTAATTTAAATTACAAAAATGTATGTATTTTCGTTAGGATAAATGTGTTGTTATTATGAATGTCCATTTTGCTTCGGTTTTAAGATGAATTTCCTTTTAAAAACCGGATTGAATCAGATCAAGTACAGCAGATTAATGAGTGTCATCTTACTGGGTACCTGTTGTGTTGCTTTTGCTTTTGATTTAGTGTGTTTCACTTTCTATTAATCCAAAAAACCATTTGAGTTTCACTACAAAAAGAAATTACGGGGGTCAATATTTCAGGAATCTTTCTGGAATATACTTGTTACATTGTATTTATCTGTATACTTAAGATGGTTGTTAATTTCAATGCAGTCGTTGAAAAACTTAATATAACAACCCATCACACAATGTGGACAATAAGCAGACGATGATGGTGAACTATCTGTCACTACACAATATTTCATTGTTTGCATTTTTTTTAGATATCGGTTTTGTTTGTAAATTGCTGTTTCATAAAAAAAAGTGAACTTGAGCAAAACAATGCATCTTCTTAAAGAAAAGGCAACTTATATGGGGTTTTTTTTGTTAGTTGTTTTGTTTCCGTCTTAGATTTCATTTTGTTTTATAACGTCAAAGTTTGTATACATATACTTTAAACTGACCAAATGTTTGCTTTTGGTCGTACCTCATGATGAGTTTTGTTATTAAAGTTCTCACAGAAATTATAGGAATTTGTTTAATTCATTTGCTGTTTTAGCGATGAAATAATGATATCAGTATTAACAGTTATTGTTTATACAAAAAGAATTGTACTGATGGTATATCTGACACCTTTTTAAACAAAATATATGTTGTCTGCTTTGATTTCTAGGTTTGCTGTCACACTTATATTTACCACACATCTACTTTTTATTCTGTTTTTCTAGCAAACAAGAGGCAATAGTAGTATGACTGGCTGTTCATGTCAAAATAGCGATGTTTTCGTCCAGTTGTTTTTTCCATCTCTATATATATATACTTGTTGAAAGCATATTAATACTTTGAACAAGTATCCATATTCTGTCAACAAGTACCCAGATGCTTCGCACAAGTTTCTCATGGGAATTTTACTAATGATAAATGGCCGGAAAATTAATTTGGTCATTTTTGTTATAAATACTAGTTTGTAGTTGTTAATCCTTGTCTTGAAAAATAAATTCCTCTGAAAATGAAACTTAAGAATAGGGAAAGATGCATTTTTTTTTGTTTTTTTTTTTTCTGCTTCTTTTGCGCATGTTAAAAAGACAAGTCAGCCAGTGTGAGTACAAAAGCTATTGTATGCAGACTGTTGGTTGCACTATGAATCAAACGATCTCTTAACATTTCTGATTGATTGATTAATCGGTTTATCAAGTGCAAATTAACTAGTAAGAACTTCTTAATAGTACTTTCTTCATTAAGATGTTCTTTAACAAAGGATAATCAGAAATTTAGATCGAAATATAAAATCACAAATATAATACCTATTCATATAATTTGATGATGTGCTGTTTGCAATTAATTTTTTCCTAATGTTAATGCATGAAGTGTTGTCTTTACATTCACATATGCCGGATTTCGTGATACACAATGCTCCATCGATGCATACACAGGTTTTTGAGCAGTTATAATTGTTATTGTAGTCATAATACCCTAGGTGGCATTCTGCAATTTCAATGAATAAAGTTTAAATAAAACCAAAAACAATGAAAAGGACAAATTAAATTCAATGAATAGTAAACACTACAAACTAAGTTATTATGTTATTATGATTATGTTTTTTTTACGCTTTAGAGTGAAAAAAAGCTGTACATTTGTTACACCACTATGTTAACACCAATAAAATTGCATTGATTAAAGACAAAAAACAAGAATATATACGTACTATTATGCTATTCCTAACTACATCCTTTTTTTTGTCTTGATTTATTGATAATTAGGAAATCCATTTGTACCAAATTATTTGTTAAAAATACAAATGGGCAATGCGAGAACTATGGTTTTACAAACGGTGATTTTAAGGATTTATAAACCACCGAACCATCAAACAATAGAACAGGAGGAAAAGGCAAAATTGATACAACCAGTTTCGAAACTCTCAATCAATCGCTTATTTGGCAAAAATATTTAGTGGGTATTTTTTATGTGCGACATTACATTTTGGTACATGTTCCATATTACTAATATTTCAATATTTTGAAAACAAACAGTGACCCCCAAACCATCCTGCCGGTCATTAGCAGGATCACACAGAGCATCATGTGCAAAGAACTATTCTTTATTACAGTTAATTCCAAATGTTCCAGATACATACTGTAAATTCAGAAATTATTGTGGTGTTTGAAGACAGGACCAAAACGAGCGATTAGTTATTGCAATTAAAGAAAGATCTGCATATAGATGTATGTACTGGATATGATAATGCAAGTTTCTCTAAATGCGGTACTCACTTCGTCGCATGATTTAGATTAATAAAAACATTGCAATTATTTCTGAATTTACAGTACATGCTTCACCAGAAATAAATCATGATTTCTTATAGGTTTTGTGTTGCAGTATATGTGTATGTATATATTTGTCGAACTACCACAGTCATTATAGACGTCCGTATATGTACTTTATTTAAACACCTATGTAAACTGTTATATATTTACTAGTTAAATAAAAAGGCTTATTGTGAAAACTGAACCACACAAATTAATTATCTCCGAACCATCCTGCAGGACATACACAATCTCCAGTTACAGAAAAAAGTTAAATCACAAAACTACTGAACTCCGAGGAAAATTCAAAACGGAATGTTCCTAATCAAATGGCAAAATCAAAAGCACAATCACATCAAACGAATGGACAACAACTGTCATATTCCTGACTTTGTACAGGCATTTTCTTATGTAGAAAAAGGTGGATTGGTACAGTAGAAGTTGATGTAATGAGCTCGTTAGTTTTCAATGTGCAAGTTTTTGAAAATGTATACTTACCACTGGTAATCGTTTATACCATAAAACAAGTACACACGAACTCATGAAACTATCAACACAATTAAATGAGTTAACTGTAAAATAATGAAACTCTTCAAATTTAGTCATCGAAAGAGATGTTGTAGTCTAATTTACGAACACAATGATGATGCTTATACAAATTATGTACAATGCATAGTATGTGAATCATTAAATTTGTAGTGTATTATACTATTAATCTTTAATGCATTTTGTTTATATACCATTTGAGCACTGTGTACCTGTAAACCCTCACAAAGACATAGCGTTTACATTTTCCACAGTGTAGTCCATCAACAAGGTTTACATCCATGAATGTTGTCTTTGACGTTGAATGTCTTATCCCCAAGTGCAATTTATTTTTTTCATTGATTTCAATATTGCACTTTCGATCGAACTTGAGATAAAGGATACAACATATACAGTTACGTCTGCCTCATATCTTGACTAACATCTATAAATTGAAAATGAGGGTCGGTTGAAAACAAAGTTTTACCACAAAAAAGATCATTTCAGCTTCCTAATTCAGAACTTTCCATTTCTATGTAGCAACATTTCAGCAGCGCCTGCATACGGAATACATATTTCCCAGTTGATACCATATTCCAGGGCTTGTATTTCCTATCATGATTCCATTGAAAGAGGGTTGCTGCTCACATAGAAGCTATTTAACCAAGAGTTCCAAGTGGTGAAGTTGAAATCATTCCTTCGTACGTGTTACGGATGCCATCACGAGTCGGTTGACCGTTATGGAATATCCGTTTCACAGATGATAGCGGATATGTTTCTTATGTCGTAACTACAATCACGTCCCCTTTTCCCGAATGTGTCCTACTGAATAAGATTTATAACCGGGTTTGTACTAACATGAGCAACACGACGGGTGCCACATGTGGAGCACGATCTGCTCACCATTCCGGTGCACCTGCGATCACCTCCAGTTTTTGGTGGGGTTCGTGTTGCTCAGTCTTTAGTTTCCTATGTTCTGTTATGTGTACTATTGTTTGTCTGTTTGTTTTTTTCTTTTTTAGCCATGGCGATGTCAGTTTATTTTCGACTTATGAGTTTGATTTTCCCTCTGGTATCTTTCGCCTTTCTTTTGCACACTTCACTAATTTTATCATTTCTAGGATATCCTTGGTCGGCATTTCTATATTTTTTCTGATGTCATAAGAGCTTGTTTGCATGCTTTAAGAAGTTCTTCTCTTGGGATCGATGGGTACAATTTTACTACATCAAAACAAAACAATATGCTGTTTCTTGGTATTGGCTGTTTAACTTTTGAAAGTTTATCTAACAAATCTGTAGTATTCCTTATATACCTATATGGAGTTATTTCCTTTCAGAACCACAGGTCATTCTTTTGAAGAAACAACCTGGACGATTCCAAATTTCAATGAAATGTACTTCAAGGCATAGAATAATGACTTGCGACAGGTCATTATTTACCATGATTAAAATGCAAATTACAGAGTACATAAATATTAAATATGTGTTTTGTTGCCAATTTGGGTTGTACGGTCGGTCTTTTGTTTGATCAATCCTGACAACCCCCGATGTGTTATACGACAAGAAAAACCTTAATATATGCATTATCTACAACTTATATAACATAGTTATCTAGTTCATTTTCTGCTATTCCTGCAAGTCTTTTAGTGGCAGTACCTATCCATTTTACGATTGTTCTGTACGGTTTGTTCTGTTTGTGGATTTTTGGATTGCCTTTAAATTTTGCTAGATGTGGATATTTTGATACTAGATAAGTTTTCATTTCACCCTTTCATTCGATTCACTAACGATTTTACCTTTTTTGTAATTTCATGTGTCTTGTTCCTTCTGTCTCAGAATAAGTATCATTGGTTGTTATTTCCTCTTCTAGTTTCTCAAAATATTCTTCTTTGTCAATAACAACTATTCCTGATCCTTTATCTGTAGGCCTTATAACTATATTATCATCTTTAAAGATATCCGGTTGAGAGCGTTTTCTTCTTTTTTCTTTGTAAAATTAATAACTTGTGCTGTTTGAGACCATTCACGACGTCTCCCTTTACTACTTCTATGTAAGTATCTAACCAGATGTTCGTTCCTGACTTTGGTGTAAGTTATTTATTTTTGAGACGGTTTGTACTACAATCTGATTTCTCTTTAATATTATTGTTGTTGTAAAAGTATTATTTTAGTCTCATTCTTCTTTCCCATTCTGTTAAATCTGCCAAAACTTTCCCAATGTTTACATTCTTCTGAGCAGAAACGAAAGACAATCCTTTTGATAACTGTGACATGTGTTCTGTATTTAGATTCTTACTAGACAGGTTAATGACTGGGCAACTTGTATTTGTGAATCCCTTTTCTTGTGTATTTGTCCTGTCTTTATCACGTTAATGATTAATTGGTATTTTGTCTTCAAAAATATCAGTTATTTAGTAAGATAGATCAAACCAATCTATATAATCATTTTGTACTTCTCTGTTTTCAACTGTGTTCTCTTGTTCTTAAATGTTGCTTGTTGCAAGATGAATCTGCTTACATATACATTTTTTTTCTAATTAAATCTTAATAAATTAAAATGATTTTGAAAATGTTCAATAGCTATCCATCTTTTATTATTGTTTGTACTATTTATTGGTGAATATCTTATCCATGCAACTATTTCATCTATTTTAGTTTTTACAAATATTGTATAGTTATACATTTCACATACTGCAGTTATTTCAGCTTATGTTGCCCGTGATTCTATTGTGCCATCAGTCATATATTGGTGAACCATGTGTAAACAAAGTTTTTATCTATCAAAGGTAAAAATGTGTCTTTATGTCCTTTCATATACTTGACATTTTCCTGTCTTTTTTTTATCATGGTGGTTTTCAATTCCATAAAGAAAAAGGCTCACACATCTGTAGAAACGATGTCCATATCCTCTAACATTCATTCTTATAAGATCGTTATCCCTGATTGATCGACTGTCATTTGACAATTTCTGGAAATAATTTTTGTTCATATCTGTGTTGAAGAGTAGATTCTCTCTTATCTTTTTTGACTTTTTTGACTTTTTTTCTGTTGTCATACTTCTCTCTGCTGTTTTTAAACAAACTTCTTGCTTCCATTTTGATTTTATTATGACTGTCTACATCTGTATCATATAGTTTATGGGAAAGTTGATTTATGGTTTTCTCAGTTTTGTCTATTTTATTTTCACATACATTGATAAATAAGTTTAAGAATTTCATTGATGCGTCATGAAGTATTGTTTTGCCTTTTTGTATAATTTCTGGTTTTGCATCTTAATTAGATTTCCACTTAAGTTGAAATCCATTTGGAAACACATTGTCTTTTATGCAGGAATTTAAGAAGTTCAAATATGAAATATAGCTCACCTTTTTGTCAGTTAAACGCAAAAATTCCAATCTACCGTGTTCCATTTCCAAATAATCTTCCATTTTCTTATAGGGTTTGATTTAAATTTTTGTTTCAAAATTCCAATAGGGAACATTTCTTCAGTTTTTTTATTATCCTTCTTACCTACATGGTAGACATTTTACTTTCACAATCATTAAGATGTTGTAGATTTAGTTCCTTGGTAATGTTATCAAGTCATAATAATTTGACGTGATAATATCTTTCTATGAATGAAAGTCAAAGTATATAATAATAAGATAAATCAAAGTCATTTTGTTTTAAAGATTAGAAAACTTAATTTTCATAAATCAATAAATCAAGAAACGCGTTTCGGACTCATGACATTTATAAACGATGTTTTCATTTTGTTAGTTTTCTCTACACTTTTAATTCCTGTTGTCTGTTTTTTCGTCTACTCATGCATGGTAATTGACCCTTTGGTATCTTCTTTCTTCTTTAGAATCAATATTTTCAATATCTTTGTCATTTTGTAAGCTTCACAAATTACAACCACTGGTTCCACTCTGTTAGAACTTTATGATTTTCCCAATACTTTTAGATTTACTCATAGATACATTTACCTGAACATTAAATTTGAGGACATTTGGAAGGCTTTACTGTATAGAAATATCTTTATGTAAATTACATTGTCCTTTGCTAGATTCAGGGTTACACTGAATGCACTCTCCCGTTAGAACATCACACTGCTCAGCATCTGAACAGGCACAAATCTCACTACAATTCTTACCAAATTTTCTCTTTGGACATCTACCTGAACATAAAATTTGAGGACATTTGGAAGGCTTTTATGTATAGAAATACCTTTATGGGAATTGCATTCCCCTTTATCAGATTCAGGGTTGTACTGTATGCACTGTCCTGTTAGAACATCACACTGATCAACATCAGAACAGGCACAAATCTCACTACAATTCTTCCCAAATTTTCCCATTGGACATCCTGCAAGAGATCATGATGCAGTAATATTCTTTTTTTATTTGGCTTTAAGTTTGGTATATATAAAGATTTCTCTTGTTTTATTATCCGAGATTACAAATAAACTCATCATAGATACCAGGATTAAATTTTGTGTTTACGCCAGACGCGCGTTTCTTCTACAAAAGACTCATCGGTGACGCTGGAATCCAAAAAAGTTAAAAAGGCCAAATAAAGTACGGAGTTGAAGAGCATTGAGGACTGATTTTACTGTTGCTGTTATTGATATTTATCGATAATTTTTTATTAATATCTAAGTTAATGACAAACATTACTCCACGGGTCAATCTGCATGTCTGCAATGTACAAAACAGTTCAATGAAAATGAAAACTCACGACTTTAGTATTTACCCTTTGTGCAGTGATCCCCATACCATCCAGCAGTACATAAACAACCTCCAGATACAGGATCACACTCAGCATCATTTGCACAAAAACATTCCTCATTGCAGTTTACACCGTATGTTCCAGCTGGACATGCTTCAATGGAAGTAAACTTTAATGTTAATCGTTACTAATATTTACACAACCATTTATATGGACTTCTTCATGTGCAATTAACCGTTCCTCATCAGGTAAATCTACGCGATGTGCATAATATATTAATTTAGGTATAACATCAATAATTCGACCCGATCAGAAATCATACAAGAAAGTAGTACATATTTTAAAAAATTATAGTTCCTACGCACAGCTGTAACTTTGTCAATAAGTAAAACATTTTGGTACTTTTGGTATCACATGAAAATTTAAGGACTTGGGATCACTGTAAAACCCTTCTTACAAGTTTCTTTTGAGTATTAAAAATAATTATGAAATTAAAAAAGGTGGGCATAATTATATAAAAATAAGGAGATGAGGTATGATTGCCAATGAGACAACTATCAATTATAGGCAAGCGTACGGCCTTCAACAATAAGAAAACCCCGTATAGTCGGCTATAAAAGGCCACGACATGAAAAATATGAAACCATTCCATTGAGAAAACTAACGGCCTAATTTATAACAAAACAATTAACGAAAAAACAAATATGACAGACATGAACCAACGACAACCACTGAACTACAGGCCCCTGACTTGGGACAGGCACATAAAGAATGTGGCGGGGTTAAACATGTTTGTGAGCGCTCAACCCTCCCCTTACCTGGGACTGTGGTGTAACAGCACAACATAAGAACAAACTATAAAAATCATTTGAAAAAGCTTAACTCATCAGATCGATACAAAGCAGAAAAAACATCTAACATAAACACAGACCGGACGTGGCAGGATATTTATCCATCCCTCATCCTTAACAACAAAAAGGACACTAATAAAATTGATAATGGAAATGGGGAATGTGTCAAAGAGACCACAACCCCCCGACCATAGAGCAGACAACAGCCGAATGCCACCAATGGGTCTTCAATGCAGCGAGAAAATCCCGCACCCGGAGGCGTCCTTCAGCTGGCCCCTGAACAAATATGTATACTAGTTCAGTGATAATGGACGTCATACTAAACTCCAAATTATACACAAGAAACTAAAATTAAAAATGATACAAGACTAACAAAGGCCAGAGGCTCCTGACTTGGGACAGGCGCAAAAATGCGGCGGGTTAAACATGTTTTTTGAGATCTGAACCCTCCCCTATACCTCTAGCTAATGTAGAAAAAACAAACGTACAACAGTACGCACAGTAAAACTCAGTTTTAGAGAAGTCCGAGTCCAATGTCAGATTAGGAAAAAAAAGAAAATAAACAAAATGACAATAATACATAAATAACAACAGACTACTAGATTATGTCTTCATCATATGAATATCAGGTACAATCCCTCCTGTTAGGGGTTTAGTATTATACCATCATAAAATATATGAGAAGAACATAACCCGTGTCATGCCAACAACTGGTTTTAGAATAAATATGCTTAATTCCGATGCAAAGACCCTATAAGTGAATCAATATTAAAGCCAAAATATGCAATCTTTAATGACCTGACAACAGTATCGTAACTATATCCCTTCTTAATAAGTCTGTTTAAAGGTTTTGTTAGCTTTTGAGGTAAATACTGACATGTTTGTGCTTTGTAAAGAATATTACCATAAAATGTTAAGGTCTCCTGTTATAAAATGGGAAATGGGGCCATAAGTGTATTCGGAATTACTACAATTACATGACGGAGGTGTATGTTCACTGATATTTACATCTTTACAGACTTGGCTATAATTAAACACAAATTTTCGGATAGATTTCTTGTAAATATAACAAATAAGAGGGAGTTCAGTATTATCAAAATATCCCAATAACAATATGCCATTATAATTTGAACGATTTCATACTTAGGACTGCAATATGAAATTGTGTTGCAATCTACTAAAATTTTATTCAATTTATTTATAGGTAAAGAACAGAGCTTGGTTAATAGATAATGTCTGCCGTTGTTTTTTGAAATAGAAATTAGGTACGAAATATTTGTATGGTTGGTCCGACATTTTCTTTGATTGCGATTTTTTCTACGCCCATGAGAACGGTTTTTACGAACAGTTTTAGAAACTATATCCAAAATGTTAACAGAATCGGTTCTTGATATATTACCAATTCCCATGATATTATCATTAAGACCGAGAGGGTAGACTGTCTGTAATTTTTTAATCTAATTTAATTCAATTATTTTCCGTGATCGTACAAACTTTGAATGAGATTCACCAGGCTGCTTATTTACTACTTCTAAAGGTTGAACTGTTAAATATTTAAAAGGATGATTGCGCTTTTTAAGATGTTGATAAATGATACTTTTGAATTTATTGGGTCTTTTAAAACGATACAGGTGTTCTTGCGTGCGTTTAGATAAATATCGTCCAGTTTCACCTACGTACTGAATACCGCATCCCGGTTTGTTTCATGTGAGTAAATACATAATACTGTTTGTTTTTCAAGTTATATCAGTTTCAAAATTTAAAGAAAATGTGCGACCATTAAACGTAGACCTTAACGTATTGTTGGTGGAAAGACGGGGACATGTAAGTCATTTTTTGGCATGACACTTATCGATAGAAGGATAACCTAAGTACAGATCTGAGAGTACTCGCAGTAACTGACAGTTAGTTCAAAGCCAATAACAACTAATAAAATAAATTTATGTATCTAAGACTAAAATTGTCCTGTTGTTCAGATCAGAAGTACTTGTTTTTGTACTACCGAATTTCCGGGAACCAGTGCGTTCTAATATGCAATTAAAGGTATGTTGATTTTTTTCAGCACAAATCAGGATAATGTATAGTTATGACATGAAATGACTATCCCTTTTATTTGAACAGAAGACAAAATATCTATGAAGGCTTGAAGTTGAAGAATTTTACAATGGGGCTATGAATTAGTGGTGTTTTTTCTTAGGATAACACAAAACAAAACTTTTATCTCTTTATTATTTACTACTTGTGCAGTGATCTCCAAACCATCCCGCAGAACATAAACAGTCACCAGTTACAGTATCACACTCAGCATCATTTGCACATAAACATACCTCACTGCAGTTCACACCGTATCTCCCGGATGGACACGCTTCAATGGAAAAAAATCACATTTTTAATTGTTATTGACATAAACACAAGCGCACTGGAAACTATTATCACAGAAAATATCACATTAAAACGTATTTAACTTCCATTCTTAAATACGCAGTGAGTAAAGGAATTACATTTAATCAGACCAATATAAATAAGGATGCTAAACACATATGTGACTTGTACACAAATCAGTTTAATATAACGTATGCATTTAAATAATGCTATTAAACATATAAATAGCAGTTTAGGCATATATTCAACAACTGTTAAATCATAAAACAGTTGGATGGTTGTACAGTTGTCTTTGTACAGTACGTGAATTAATCTGATAAATATAGCTACGCATATTCAGGGTAATATCAGTCATGAATGAAAACTATTTACCTACCATTTGAGCATTCTGAACCGGTATACCCTGTATCGCAAACGCAGCCATGAACTGGGTCACATTTCTTATAATCTGCACAGTTACATAGCTTTCTGCCCTGAACACCATGGTAATTATTCAAACATGACAGCGAACAATCTTGCCCATATTTTCCTGCTGGACATGCTGAACAAACAAATAAACAAAATTAAATGAAATGGGGAAATAAGAAATAACTTAGAAAGATACTTTTTAGATATTATTGAAGTATGCAAACAGAGTGATATAACTTACGCAAAGGACTTTGATGAAAACGAAATCAACCATTGCATTTCTCAATTATGTTTCACGTTGTTTATTTTAAATGACAGTTAATGTTAATCACCAGGAGATCAATAAGCAGATTATTTTGCATCTTTTTCCCTTTCTCTCAAAAGTTCCCATTATCTGCAAAAACACCTCTTTATTGAAACTTTGAAAAGGTAAATATTCAAAGATGTAAAAATGTTAAAGTACAATAAACGGTCCATTTTACTCTAAACAATAATACCTTGACATTTTCCATTCTGGTTAACATAATCCGGACAACACTCTATTATCAGTTGTGTTTCGTTAACAGAATGACTCCTAAAAATGAAAAAAATAAAAAAAACAATATTAAAAGAGCAGTTTCAAAACATATTTATTCTATTACTGGAGTCTAAGGTTAAGTTAATGAAAAATATTGACAATCAGGATTAATTTGAATGGCTGTTCGGAAAGCCTTGTTAACTGTTTATGAAAAAATAACAAGTCATTTTAGGCCGAACTGAGGAAGATAAAGCAATTACAGGATTTTTTGAGAAAAAAGAACCCGTTATCAAATGCACAAATTTGTAGGGATTTAACGATATATACAAGTGACAAATATAACCAATGATGCCGTATAGGTCCTCGAGAAGCATGTTGAAAATCTTTTTTTTTTCATTAGTCTTTTTCCTTGTCCAACTACTTTTCCGGTTCTATCAAATAACATACTACTATTTATATTGTTTAATTTTAGTGTAGAAAACACGTGAAGATTTTGCAACTGAAGGTTATAATTGTTTTAGTAGAGTTTTTTTTTAATTAAGCCCTGTTGTTTTTCTTTTCGTTGCTTATCTATTTTTTTATGGGTTCGTCGGTTCCTCTCTTTGACTTATGAGATTTTATTGTCCCCTTGGTATTTTTTATCTATTTTCTAAATAGTAGTTCTTTCGTCCCACGTGTTTTACTTACCTTATGGTTACTGTTCTAGGACAAACATTTGGATCTGTTAAATTCAGTGGTGTACAATTTATCGTATCAACATAGACACAAATAAGAAATACAACGTTTTTCGCAATAAACTTATAACGTTTCTCCATTGTTATTGTTTTGACAATGCTTTGATGACTACTTACTCCATAGAACCACGTGCAAATAAGTACAGAACAATGACGATTTTAATGACGAATTACTTCAAATATTATTTCCTCATTGCTATATTTCATACTTTACTCATGTCCACTCATGTTTGCCTTCCTCTTGATTTTATTTAATCATTT